CAGTGTTGATTCACACAGATTCTTATTAACAAGCAATTTCCACGGTGTTAGATGTCAATTTGAGATGATAATAAGTTTCGAGAATCAATGAACTAGCACGTACAGCATCCAGTGCTGGTCGTTACCTAAAAGGACGTCCCGATCATTGAATTCGTCGAAACAATCCAACTTCAGCCTCATTCTGACCCCATCTGATCTCATTCCCATTTTGCATCCATGACGGTCATGTATTTGATGAAAAGTATAAAATATGATGAAAATAATGCTCGAGAATATACGAAGCGTCAGGACATGAATTCGCTTTCCAAGCTCTCTATGTCACCAAGCTAACCAACTAGTCCCAAATTATGCGATGTGAGCGTTTTCTTTGCAGGTACTCTTCGATACGGGCTCATCAAATCTATGGGTACCGTGCGCTGATTGTTCGAGGTTCGACCTGGCATGTCAAAATCATAATCAATTTACTTGTTCACTCTCGCAGACTTGCAGAAGAACCAGTGAGCAATTCCACATTCAATATGGCTCGGGTTCGAGTTCGGGACACATTGATAGAGACACCGTTTGTGTACGTTATTGCACTGAATTGTTCCGGTTTCGTTATTATCCTGGAGAGTTTCACTGAAAGAAATTAACACTTGTTCACTAGCTCTCATTGTGATCACTTTAAAATCAACAGTTCGTATTGTGATTTGCCTCCATCTGATCTTGAAAGGACAACACAGAATGGGATTTTAGTTCAATAGTCCGAACAGTGGATATTGCACGGACGCTAACCAGGGATTTGCTTGCGTAACCAGCGAACCTGGCAACACTTTCACGGTATGCATTCTGAGGTTCCAGCACTCATTCTCTTAAAAGAATAGTTCTTCATTCAATTCTTCAGCTAATCATGAAAAATTTGCGAGTAATTTCTGCTTTTTAATTGAATTCAAGCAATTTATCCAATTCAAAACAACCAATTCATCGATTGAATGTTAAAGAATGCTGCATTTGACGGTATCCTGGGTATGGCATGGGACTCAATTGCTCAAGATCACATCGCACAACCGATGGATCAAATTTTCGAACGTCCGGAATGTGCTCAGAAGTTGTTCGCGTTCTATTTGAGCCGAGATGGTACCACAATAAATGGTGGAGAGTTGACGCTATGTGGCATTGATGAAAGCCGCTATACGGTTGCATTTTGTTGTTTAAATTTGTAGACTTACTTCCACTCATATCAGCTAACCTTCGTGGATTGATTGATCTGAATGTTTCATTCAATTCGCTAAAGTGTTTTGAGGGATGTTTCGCATTGCGATCTAACTTGTCAATATTCACCCAGGTAAGGAATTGCAGAAAAAAGTTCAAAATTATATCAGCTCGTCTCGTGATTGAGACTATGATTGAGGTGATAGAGTGAAACGTTACGGATGATCATTCTCCTT